ACTTTGATTTTAAAAATAGCTAAGTGACCAGGTTTTATGTATTGCTAAAATTAAGTAATAATGTTTTATTAATGTTTTTATGATTATTGTATTGTAATAAATATTTGTTATAATAGAATTATTACTTACATTACCCGTGTGACTGCATACAGTTATATTACGAAGTTCTTTATCCAATAAATCAGCAGGACCTTTTTGACAACCCATAAGTTCCAATACTGCACCAGGCATATTAACACCCCAACCATGTAAATCTATATTAATTGGATTTTGATTCTCCAAAGCAAAAATAGCCTCATTTTCAGTTCCACTTCCTACTGTGCCAAAATTCATCGTGCCTTCGTCACTTTCTCTTTCTTCAGGAACAATTTTCCTTACTTTTCCATCATAACTTAGCAATGGAACTTCAGTTACAGAAACGTTTGAATGAATTAAAATTGACGATTCCATCTTCACATTATCAGTTTTCCTATCTTTTGCGAGTTGTAAAGAAAATATATTAACTTTCTGTTCTGGTTTTATTACTCTTGGAATAAAATTTTTTATCTGTAAAATGAAAGATATATATTTTAATTTCTAATTAAATTTTTTCTTGGAGTTTTGTATTATCATTGTAACTTACTGTAAAAAGTGTCTTTACATGCGATGACATTGTGACATTTGTAATAGCTAATGGTAATTTAAACTTATTAACAACGCTAAAATTTCGTGTTTGATTAGATTGGAGAGAACAATAATGCGTAATTGATGCGTTTACTTCTAGTCCACCCTGTAGAGCTTGTGCTACCCATGGAATTGTTAGTTTTTGACTAGAACCACCAGGACCTATGGCTTTTATCACTAATTTCCCCTTAAAATGTTGTAATTCTAAACCAGTCTTCCCTAAAATAAAATAGTATATATTATTATATGATATATTATATATATTGCGAAATTACGTACAGTCATAAATTAATGCTCCTATGGCAATCGGTATATCGGTATCTCCAGGAATTACCGCCTGCTCGAAATGAAGTTTTAATGCTTTAGAAACTGGCGTACTAATTATATTCTGTAAAATATATAAAAATTCTTTTGTTTATAATGATCCAAATACTTCATAAATTATATTAAAAAAATTATTTACCATAACTTTTATTGGTTTTTTTGCCGAATTTTTCAAAGCAATAGGGTATTGGATGGGAGGTTGCAATGAGCCGCCCATGCCTAAGTTAATTACTCCAGAACTTCCACCCCAATGAAGACCAGCCCCACTCTTAACTTCGACTTCAACTGTTACAATAAGCACTTCTGAAGTATTGTTTACTTTAAGTCTGTAATTAAGACAAATATCAATAATTAAATCTAGAATAATTAAAGATAACATTTGTGACACAAACCTAATGTATGCAGTATGATTTTTTTCTGTGTAAGCATTAAAATGCAATCTTATGATAGGCTTTGTCTGATATGGTGGAATTTCCCATAGTTCACGTGAACCTTCTGCTTCTCCTGATGGTAATTCTAGTTGAAATTCTCCACCACTACTATATACCTCTAATACCTTATTCATAAAATATAAAATATAGATAATTATTAAATAAAATAAAAAGTAAATAATTTTTAAAATAATTTATACTTATATATTATATAATATATAACTTAATATTATATAATAATTTAAAAAATATATAAACAAATCCATACTTGTAAAGCTTCTGAGTGTGGATTGTGCATGTATATAAGTGGAGTAAATGTTGCATTTAAAGGTAATTTAACACCCACTACAGGTCTGAGTCGATATGGACTACTGACACTTATTCCCTTCACCTATGTGGAGATAAGATTATATTTTTAATAAAGAAAAATATATGTAGAATTTACAATTATAAATATAATAGTTTGTGATTACTTGATATTTCACAGTTCCATCTGCGGTATGTATGAAAAGGTGTATATCAATATCACCTTCTTCTCGGCCAAGAAAGATAACATCGAATGTTGTATTCCCCAATGGTGGAATTACCTATACAGTTTAAATTGCGATGATGAAACTTATTGTATTTTACTTACATTGTTTTATATTATTTTAAGATTAATTTATCAATCTTTTATTTCTTTTAGATATTTTCATTTCTTTTGTCCCTTGAAAAATGGACATAAAATCTTACACCCTGAAAAACTTACTTTGTTTCGAAAGAATGATGAATGGAAATGACGCGTATTTCCAGAAATTGATAAAAGGTGAATTGTTTTGTTGTGATCTTTATTAAACAAGATCACAGTTTCTTGGTGAGGTATACCAAGTTGTCTAGAAACAAAAACATCTTCATTGTATGTATATTCACCTATATTAATGTGACACAGCCAAAATTTATATACCTCTCTTTAAAGTCCAAAACATGTGGTTTGAAATAAACATAAGATAATGAATCTTGTGTTTTATCTTCGTCTGATGTCGTATCCCTTAAAAATCAGTTTGAAAATTTTAATATATCTAATAGTAATTTTCAAACGTATTTGTAATAGTGGAAATTGAAAATAGGAAAGGTATGAGAAAAATTAGTTTGAAGTAATCACAGTTAGTAAAGAAGTGTTTAGAATTTAAAAAAAAGCTGTTATCTAAATATATTATTGTAATAAAACAATTAAAATATTTTACTAAATAATTAAAATCATTGTATTTAATAACATATCTTTTTTACATTTTAAACTATTATATTGTTTTTGTGCTATCATATTAAGACAATTAATTAATTAAAAATCCTAAATATCTATCTCATATCTTTTCAATTTTTAGTCTTGCATGAAATAAAAAAGAGATTGATGTAAAATTATAGTACTGTACGTAAACATTTTGAAACTGAAGAAGGAAATTTATAATGAAAACCTTTCCTACTTTCACTCACCATTATTTTAATGAGTATTATGCTTACCCAGCCCCCTGTACTGTATTAGTAAAATCCTATAAAATAAAAATTTAACATCATATAGAATCATATAACATTCGTTTTAGAATGTTAATATATATTTTTAAAAAATAAAAAAATTTCATTAAAATATTTAGAGAAAAATACTCATTGCAGTCAACTTTATATTTAAAAATTTGTTTATTTGAAACTATCTATTTAATGCAAAAATTTTGGTTTTCTTCTCTAATCTAATGTAATCTAATGGAATCTAATATAAGATAAGACAATTCAGATAAGAAAAGAAATGCAACTAACCTTATGCATAGACATAGGTATGTTGTCCAAAAGGTATTGAACATCATTGTCATCCTGTACGAAGGCTATGAAACATTTCTTATTAGATAAAAATCTTAAATAAATTATCAATTTTTTATACAGATTATTTGTAACAAAAATTATGAAATATAAACAATATAAAAGCATCATAAGTTATAAAATATTACTTCAGAAATATATTAATCATTTAGAGAGACTTGATATAATAATAATCAGATTCATCATTAGAAAACAGTTATTAATTGGTAAATATTGTCATTCATTAATGTCATTAACATAAAATTTTATGTATGTCATATTATACTTTTACATTCATGAAGTTTCTATGCACATGTATGACATAAAATTGTCACTAACGATTCCTTACTTATCTCCTAAAACATAATATCATATCAACATTTTATCTGCCACAGTATAATACTACAAACATTGTAAATCTCTGTCACTATAATTGACAGTATGCTCACAATATAATGATAACTACAAAATAATAAAGAAAACATTGTATTTGTGCGAATACATGAATTAATTTATAATTCAACGACATAAAAAAGGAAACTATCAATAAACATACCATGAAGTATCTTTGTTAACAAGCAAGTAAGTACAGATCTTTAAATTTTCTTAGAAAAATAAGAATTTATTGACTTTTAACAAGCACATAGGACTTTGTATTAACATAAAATTATATTTCAAGTAAACAATGTCTGATCATATGTCAAATAACAGTACAGAAACGTTATTTAAGATGTATATTATTGTGGCGAAATGAAGATAATTAAAATAGTATAAATATACATTTACCATTATTGTGCCCATGTAAGGACGGTCGAATTTGTGACGTCAACTCGAAAAACGTTAACAAGAAGATACAATAAAGTACTTTTAACTCAGTCATAATAATAGTTTTCACTGTGTTGTTTGCTGTTTTGTCTTTAGCAGAAATGAAAATCCGCTTTCGGCCATACTTTTGCCACTATCGAATTCTGGAGTATCGATTCTACTTCCGTCCGATTTGAAACCTTTCCACAGATAAATTTCATACAACCAATCTGACGAAGATGGATTATATATGTATTATCTCTATATCTTATTGTTATATCAATGTATCATTCATATATTAATCTCTGATATGTTAATTTCTCGATTATTTCGTTTTTCTGTAAATAATTCAAGTTCTCAAAGTAATCAAACAATCACGTCATTTGATTCATCACTTATAATTTATAGGCGGGTAAAGACTTGCAAGTTTGTAATTAAAAGTTGTGGTTTTTCATTTTATTTCAAAATATATATTGGTAATTTGCGATTTCATATATGTATATGCATATGTTATGATGATTTCGAAATGATACTTATATTTGATTAGTAGAATGTCCATTTATTATTCCAGAATTGATTATACAATTTAAAATATTGGCTCGTGTAATTTTGTTGATTTTTATATCTCCAAACACCTACGTAAAAATCGCAAATAATATTTCAGAACCTTATTATAAACTATCCAATTACGTTGCTTTATTGTGAGAAAGTTGACAACTTCACGGTTTCTTTTGAATATTTTATTGAAGTTTGAAGTTGATTTTATATCGTTTAATATATTAGTTGAATAAATAAACATGATTGATTATTAATACTAACTTAAAAAACTATTTTTGTAAATTTTAAATAAATATTTTATGTAGTTTGTTCAATGAATCTGATCAAGGAAGATAGGGAAATTCATGTGATCAATATCTAGGGGAAACATAGGAAACCCTAGTATTTAATTTATTTGGAGCCAGTTCAAGCTTTCAAATATGAAAGCTCTATCTGCACATGTGTTGCATATAACCTAATAAGTAAATAAGTAAAAAAAAGTATTACATTATTACGGGGAACATTTTATGTTTTAAAGAATTTTATATATTGGGCATTTTAATATAAAAATTTTACTAATTTGGAAATAGACATTCAAAATGCGGAATACTAGTATGTGATGTATATGTTAAATTATTAATAGAATTATTATTAAACAGATATTTAATTAATCCCTATTCTAAATAAAATAGGCAATAGAACTGAGAAAAAGAAACTTTCTTGGATATGTAGGAAGAAGATAAAATTACAGAAATCAAAGAAATCGACACAAGAGATAGTTGACAATACAGATGAAAATAAGAAACCTAGGATTATTGTACGCAATATACCATTTAAGGTTAGTGCACTTTTCAATATTGAATAAGAAATATATTTCTATATTAGCAAATTCATATTTATTTACGTCATTAGACAACTCCAGAAGATGTGAAAAAATTGTATGAACCATTCGGAGAAATATTAGAAATAAATTTTCCAAAGCGGACAGATGGTTCCCCAGTTGGATGTTGTTTTATTCAATTTAAACAGCTAAAAGATGCCTCAAAAGCAATATTTAGTACAAATAAAAAGGAATTTCTTGGTATTGTTCTATTAAGAAATAAAAATTACCAGTATTGATAATTTAAGTAATAATTTGTTGACAATAATGTGTTAAAAACATATTTTTAGGTAGAATAATAAATAGTAGTTGGGCTGTTTCAAGATCAAAATACTGTGAAAAATTGAAAAAAGATTCAGAAAAAGCAAAAAATTTGGATAATGAACATGGTACAAGTGAGGGTACAGAGAGAAATCAAGATAAAAAACATGAAAATAAACAAATGAAACAGGATGAAGATGAAGAAGATCCATCTAAACAGGAAACATTATTACAAATAAAAAGGGAAAGGAGAAGATTGCTTAAGGACAAAAATAGAAAAAAGAGAGCAAGAATTGTAATAAGAAATTTATCATTTCAGGTAAGATAATGGTAAAAATTTACATTATTTTTCTTTTAAAAGATTTGTATTTTTCATCATAATTGTAGGCAACTGAAGAAGACTTGAAAAAACATTTTTCTCCATATGGGGCAGTAGAAGAAATCAGAATTTTGAAGAGAAGTGATGGCAAAAATATAGGATGTGCATTTTTACAATTTGAACATGTACAAAGTGCAGCTAAAGCTATACATTATACAAACTTACAATCACTTTTAAATAGACCCATTATAGTTGATTGGGCAGTATCTAAAAATAAATTTGCACAAAATAATTCTGAAAATAAACAGGAAGATGAAGTTAGAGTAAAGGTGGAAGATGAAAGTGACATAGAAGATACAGATAATACAAAACAATTAAGTTTAAACGGGGAGCTAGAGGGGTGTGTAAATTTATAATTTTAAAGAAAGGATATGTAATTTTGTATTTTAAATACTGTTTTAAAAGCATGCAACTAGGATGTAACTAAACAAAATGTAATTGCAGTGAAGATGAAAAACTTGATATTGTCACAGAAAATGTTGAATTTGATAACAATTGTTTAGATGAAGTAGAAACAGACAATGAAAGTGAAATATCTGGAAATAATGAAAACAATGAAGACGAAGAACAAGGAAAGATAGATATAAAAGAAACAAAACCACGTTTCAAATCTCATGATGTTTCTGAAGGAAAAACCATATTTCTAAAAAACGTACCATTTTCGGTAAAAAATGATGAGTTGAAGAAATACATGGAACGATATGGACCTGTTTATTATGCTCTCGTGTGCATAGATCCATTAACTGAATTTTCAAGAGGTACAGCATTTGTTAAATTTAAGGTAAATTTTTATGAAATATATTCTATCCTTTTCATAACAGAACTTACATTATCAAAAAGATTTGATTGTAGAATGTTGAAGATGCAGAAAAGTGTTTATCAGCAGGGAATGAACTGCAAATGGAAGATCAAATACTTGAAGCACACAGAGCATTGGATAGAAATGAAATCGAAAATAAGGCAAATTCAAAACAATACAAACAAAAGGATTCTAGGAATTTATATCTTGTAAAGGAAGGAGGTATATATTGTATAAAATAAAAAAAGAAGGGGAGAAATTTCTTTTAGTAATAATTTTGTATAATATTAGAGATTAACTGATAAGTAAATTTTAATTTTTTAGTTATATTAGCTGGAAGTTCAGCTGCAGTTGGAGTTTCAGCGACAGATATGTCAAAACGGTTGCAAATAGAACGGTGGAAATCACAGATATTGCGAAATTTAAATATGTTCGTATCCAGAGTACGACTTGTCGTTCATAATTTACCAGCTACGTTAAATGACGATAAATTCAGAAAAATCCTTGAACGTCATAGTCCTCCTACAGCGGTTATAAGAGAGGTATTTATTAGATTACATAATTCCAAATTAAATATTTAATGTTGAATAAACTTATGTTAGAAAATTAATTTTTAAGTTAATTTTATAAAGGCACGTATTATGCGAGATCCAAAAAATGTGGATCTGAAGGGAGTGTGGAAATCGAAAGAATATGGATTCGTTTCGTTTACGAAACACGAAGATGCACTTGAGACTTTGAGAAGTGTGAATAATAATCCAAATATATTCACTCCTAAAAGGGTACATAATATATAAATAACATCAATAATATAAATATAATTTTCTTTTAAATTATACTGTTACATATCTCATATTTTTATTTATTTAGAGACCAATTGTATCCTTTTCAATAGAAAACCGAGTAATGGTGAATGCTAAACAAAAGAGACTTCAAAAAAGTCGCGAGAATAATCCTCTTTGCTCAGGAAACAAAGTTAAAACGAAAGGAGAAGATACAAACCAAGAAGTTGCAGCGAAACGACTAAAAACTGAAAATGAGGACAAGTTTAATATAAAACCGTATGCTGGAATGGTTGGAAAACCTGGTGAAAATAAATTACGGTCAAAACACAATTTAAAAATTCAAGCAATGGTGCATAGTCAAGCAGTAAAAAAAGAGAAAAAGATCAAAAAGTCTTCTAAAAAATTAGAAATAAAAAGGAAGCAGAAAATTGCCGATAGAAATGAAGTTAAAGTAAGCATTTTTTAAATCTATAAAACTGAAGATTGCATAACTATTATTTATATTCTTTAATGGAGACTTTTTCTTTACAGCCAAAACAAAGAACGAAAGTAAACCACGATGATGTGAATTTGGAGAAACTTGTAAATAAATACAAAGACAAATTAAAATCAATAGAATTGACAAAATCTAAATGGTACGAATCATAGAATTTAATTGTTACGATAGGAATTTTACGATAAGAAATTGTACTGAAAAGTTAATTTCTGTATACACATTATAAAGAAAAATAAAACGGCAAAACGTTGTAGGGTTTTAATTGTAAAACTACCTTTATACATCTTTTTATTTTAAAACTTACAAAATAAATATTATAGCATTTTAATTTAATCCATGTGAGGTTGTACAAAATAGTAAAACATTTAGAATTCCCGCCATTCACGTGATACATTAGAATTCTCCCAATAAGTGATGCCCAAATCGTTTTCAACCAATAGCATTGTTCTATAAAATAGAAAGGATCCAGTTCAAAGATTACATCTTCTAGTAGTTGGAAAGAATACTAAAGTCCATTCTAAAATTATATAGTTCATATTATATAAAAAATGTATAATATAACGTAAAATTATTATGTATACATATTATGTGAAATATGTAAATATGATTTTGATTAAAATAAAATGCATTGCTCTTATTTCAATCTTAATTACATCTTGAGAAAATTTAGAGATGACTAAAGTCCTTGAGAAATGTTTGATACTTAGCCGGATCTCTTGAGGAATAAAAGGGCTGGTTACGCACTCGTTTCGATCGAAAGTGTTCTCATTCAAAAGTAGTTCATTAAGCGTGGTACGTGTCTATATAAAGTAAAATGTTGAATAATAACAAGTGACAATTAAACTTATGTGTCGCTGTTTAAAAAAAGTTTAATGTTGATTGAAATGTGCGATATTTTATTAAAACGCAGCTTCTGATTTACTGAAATCAGTGATGGTGATAATATGATTCATTTCAAATAAAATCGTGCAATTTCAAATTGTGGATAACGTAGATAGAAATTGACATAGTAAATGTGTGTGAAATAAAAATTCAATTTTATACGTTGTGAAGAATTATATCTTTATTCTGGTAGGCATCAATGATATTTTATTTAAAATATAGGATAAAGAAATTATTCAATATGAGCTGTTACTTTCAAGAAATTTTTGAATTTAACATTTGGAATCTCTATTCAGCATTACTGTATACAAGGAAGGAAATTCCAATATACATGTACAATCAAGATTAATATTAGAACGATCAAAGTGCTCAAAATTTAATTTATTGTTTTTTATAGAAATTTTATAAATTTACAACGATGTACTTTTAGAACAAATATTAAAAAGGATTCATGGCGCTACAATTTACCGGCCTGTAATCGCATGCAGTACTGTACTCTGGTTAGAACATTTTGCTTTGATTTTTCATGTTGATACCTATACAGATTGAATTGACTGAAATCGCCAGAGTTATCTCGATAGGGACACTCCGTTACAATTAGCTGACTGATAGTAAAAAATATATATTTTACAAGTCCTTCGAAATCTTTCATCTTTTTATCATAATGCCTCTTAAAAAATTCATTCTTGTTTGATATATTTCATAAATTACGAGACACGTTGTATTTCGTGAAACCACTTCTGCGAACGATTCTGGTAAATAGCACAAAACAATTACGCCGCATGGTTTCACTTGGAAGGGCTACTGTGGTTTTCACAATGCAATTCCTGTGTTATGGAAAAGAAAGCAAGCATAGTTTTTGCGTTTCATTATTTATTAATTTATCATATAAAGAAACTAACAGCAGTCCGCAAAATTTTAATGTAAAAATTCTACTATAATTTTTCTACGTTGCAGATTAAAAATGAATATCTTGAATTGCAAGTTTATCAAATTTGTAAAATATACCATTGAACCATCAAGTTCTATTATTAGAACTATAGAAACTTTGACAACAGAAATCGAGGAGCAAGAGTGGTCGCAGTGTCGTCCTTATGCCGAAATTCCTGGTCCCAAACCAATTCCCTTCTTGGGTAACACGTGGCGATTTATACCATATATAGGTATACACTGATTTGCCATAAATAGATTAAATAATATTCAGAAAATATGATGGGAGAACACCGAGATACAATTTCGGCCGTGTTGTATAACTATAGCATTACAAACTTATTTAAACTAGTGCTAAGACGATTTCTGTATATTCTAAACATACAAGATGCGTTCATTTCAGGTAACTTCGAGATCCAGGCGGTAGATCAAGTGTCGAAGAAATTATATAAAGAGTATGGAGATATTGTGAAAATAGAAGGTCTGTTAGGTAGACCGGATATGGTTTTCATCTACGATGCAAACGAAATCGAGCGTATCTTTCGGCAAGAAGAGAGGATGCCATATAGACCTTCGATGCCGTCGTTAAATTATTACAAACACGTGCTTAGAAAGGAGTTCTTCAAAAATAATGCCGGCGTAATCGCTGTGTAAGAACTGTATCATCTTTTTGTATATGTATTTACTAATTTTCGAGAAAATTATTATTTGTTTAATTAATTATTAATTATTGTTAAATACGAAGCGTCTATCGGAACGGTTGTATTTTAGATACATATCGTTGTAGGACCATTTATAGCAACGCTCTGTGTTCTAATGGAAAATGTAATACAAAACAATCTTAAGAATTTCTTTGATACTTCATTTAGCCAAAATATTTATATAATTTTTTTCACAAATAAAGACTTCAAAATGACGAGTTTCGTTAAAATTTTTCAATGGGACTTTTACTTAATAGTACTTTTGAAATATCATAAATAGTATCTCTACTACATGAAAACGGCATAATATTATAAAATATAATAGAATAATTCAATACTAGAAGTTGAGTAAATGTACGCTATATTTACACTCATCTATGAGTCCGCACAACTTCATCATGTATGCAAACCTCATTAAGTACCATAATGGTCAAATATTGAAATTACAGATCTTCTAATGGTGTCGTTTACTCTTTTGGTTAGCAAACCACTGTGATAGCAAATATTTGCTACGCATATTGTATTTGCGCTTTTGGGAACGTGCTAACTAGATATGCTTTTGTTTCTGTACACGCTTCAACTTCGTGAGCTTCCATCACTCTTTACTATATATGTGTCAATTACTTTAATGACAAGATTCATCCATCTTGAATAAATGTTATGAAAATACAATGCAATAAGCATTCATCCATCTAACTTGTGTACATTACAGATATTCGTGTGAAAAAGTCACAACATAAATAGAAACGGAAACCGGACGAAAATTAGGACAAGAGTAAACAAGTGGTGGCTTTAAGTGTTACGCATACTGTACAAGACATATTACTTATTAGAAAGTAAATTTTGTGCAATCGGATATTGATGCACGTTATGTTATCATTTCCCGCATGACAACGTATTTTGCAATTGCATTTAATGTAACCTCTTTTCCTAATATTCGCGTGACAACACACGCACATACACATGGTAATGCCCTAATTTGTAATTATCTCACTCAGCCGGATATTCTTGTGTAACAACATTTCACTTTCGACCAGACCTAAAATTATATTGGATTAATAAATTACATATTTAGTGGAAGAAATGTAGCGAGGTTGTAAATTAGAAATCTATTAGATACAAGAATTTTATATTTGAATTTCAGATCGCGAAAGTCACTTTCATAGATTGATGTATTAAATTTCTTCGTAATATATGCGTGTTGTGTGAAAAATAGGAAACTTTTTATCTGTTTATACTATTTTTATATTTTACATACCTGTTACTTCCAGTTTCCAAATTTTTAACATTCGTTTTATTCATTATGTATGCACGATCTTTTGAATATGTAGAGTGGATTAAATGTCATGGTCCCAATTTATTTTAATCATATACACATTTTTCAATATACTAGACAGATTGGCTTTCTTGTTTATTAATGACTTTATCGAAGTCATTCCAAATATCTATTAAATTTCTCAATGTCGACTTACGAGAAATAGAGCAGAACCTTGAAGACTGCGTTACTGTAGATTCTCTTTTCACTTCGGTTTCATTGAACTATACTTGATGATTAGTAAACACGACAATATTGATTATTACAGATCATCGACGGATGAATTAATTCAGAATGATGTAATGAGATTTGCAATCTCTTTCATACTTGAATCACATTCATATCATGAATGTGTCTAGTAGATAATCAACTATGCACATGATTTATCATGTTAAGTACACGGTGTAAAATACACAATAAAAAATGTCATTAAACAACGCAAAGATTTAAATTATATCTTTTTACAATTTATTTAATAATATCCAATATTTTGTTAAGTTATAAATAATTTTTATAATAGTTTAAAAAATAGTTACATGTATACATTACAAAAATGTTCATTATTTAATTTTTTTCATTTATTTTCTTCTCATTCAAATTTCGTAAATTGAAGAAAAGAAAATTGAAGAAAGTTGACAGCAACAAAAATAGTAATGAAAGCGATTGTTGCAGACATGGTGAGAGCTGGTACAATTTCCGGAGCAAGGTGCAACAAGTAATGTTACAACCACGAACAGCAAGAATGTACATTAGCGCTATCGAGGAAGCGAGTCTAGCATTTCTTCGCAGGTTCGCTGGCAAACAATCATCTTGGTAGCACACGTGCACCTTACCTTTCACTTTTTCTTGCTGCCCCTGTTCTCGTTCAGATACAATGTATCAGATACTCTAGAAAATTCGTCATTGTTTATCCGGCTGTATCTTCTATCTTAAGACAGATTGTATAGGTCGTGTCTATATCGCATAATTAGCTTGTCTGATCCTACGCAATAATATGTTAAAATACTCTATTATGATAATTATTAGAAAATACAACCCTATTGTAATGATAATTTGGAAAATATTTTAATAGTAAATGTACAAAGAATCATACGAATTTTCTGGAGTAATTTTAGAATTTTTACTTTTAGAATTAGAAGAATACGGGATGAAGATGACGAGGTGCCTGATGATTTTCTAAATGAAATACATAAATGGTCACTAGAATGTGAGTAATAAATGGATTATTCTGATGATTTTAAACATTTAAGTTTATTCTTTATTTAAATAAACTTTCACGTTATCGAGAATGCTTTTGGCATCTTTTTTTTATAGCTATTGCTCGTGTTGCATTGGACGTTCGATTGGGTTGTTTGGATGATGATGCTAATGTCAAAACTCAGCAATTAATTGACGCAGTTACAATATTCTTTAAGAATGTCGGAGTCTTAGAATTAAAGATTCCATTCTGGAAATTATTCAATACACCTACGTGGCTGCAATATGTGAACGCTCTCGACACCATAGTAAAGTGAATTTCAATAAGATATAATTACAAAACAACTAAATAAAAAAATATGCAAAATATAAATGAAAAGTATCCTTATGTCCAGTATAACGTCTAAATACACGGCGGCTGCTCTTTCAAGGATAAAAGAAGTAGAGAAATCTGATAAGGAACAGTCTCTTCTGCAAAGAATCTTGGCTCTTGAAAATGATACTAAATTGGCTACTATCCTTTCTCTTGATTTATTTTTAGTTGGCATTGATACAGTGAGTAGCTCAATAAAAATTGGAATTTACTACTTTTAAATATCAAGGTTGCAAAACACAAATACTATTTATGTATTTTATTAACATAAGTGCGCAATATTAAATTTCTAAATCCTTAAATTTTATTTTTAGACTTCCAGTGCGGTAGCATCAACTTTGTATCAATTAGCTTTGCACACTGACAAGCAAAATCTCGCTTATGAGGAAGTCTGTAGCGTGCTACCAGATAAAGATATGCAGCTTGAAGGGACGCATTTGGATAAATTGAAATATTTAAAGGCGTGCATTAAGGAAACTCTTAGGTTTGCGTGACAACCGTTAATCCTTTAGGGTCTTAATCCTAACAGTAATTCTTAGCCTTCTTGAGAACTCAAGTCAAGTTACTTTTACACCAAAAATAACAACTTTCACACCGAAGTATTTAAATTGGTTGTAATATGTTAATAAAAATACTATATAAAGAAATACTATATTATGATAGTTTTTAATGAAAGAATAATTATTTTCACTAGGATGTATCCAGTGGTTATTGGTAATGGACGATGTATGACTAAGGACACAATAATCAAGGGATATCGTGTACCAAAAGGCGTAAGAAAGAATTCTTCCTCAATTTAATTTTATTGTATTAATTTTAGCATAATTACTAGTAAAAGTTTCGTAATTTTCATAATAACTACTAAATTGCTGAATGGACATTGCCTGTTACAATTATAATATAAATAAAAATTGGTTAACACAGGTACAAGTAGTTTTCCAACATTACGTAATAAGTAATCTTGAGAAGTACTTTCCACGCAGCGAGGAATTCCTTCCAGAGAGATGGTTGCAAAGTGACGGTGTGTACCACAAATTCGCATCGCTTCCTTTCGGTTATGGAAGGAGAATGTGTCTCGGTCGACGTTTCGCCGAACTTGAGATGCTCGTTGTTATTAGTAAGGTAATAATTAATACTTAATTATTTTGTTATATATTTAAAAGCACAAGTTTTTTTGTTATGGTTAAGAATATAAATAAAATATAAATAATAGAGCTCCTGAATTATACAAAAGGAAACAACAGAAGATAGAAAATAGGTGCCTCTTAATCTTGTAGTTTTGTTACCATAGATTGGGTGCTTAGCTTTGACTATAGCCTCCGGATAACTTAGTTTGTCAATTATCACAGTGAATTCCCATAGACAATGAACATTCACCTCAGCAGCTGAATCTTCGTTTCAGTGTGAAGATATAATGTGTCTTTTTAGACTGTCATTATTTTGCCACACAAATCTCACAGTAATTTGTACCGTTACCAGGATGTACGAAACATGCTCATAAGCTTCTTTTCGTTGATTCTTTTGTTGCTTTGTTCCTATATTAATTTAACATTTATAATTTTCTCAGGAATAGCCAAGTATGTAGTATGTAATTCTTAACACAAAAAATACTTAAAAGCAGTTATTACATTTTGCATCATCAATTATCGTTTATACAGATAGGCAACTTCCTCTGTAGATATTAAATAGTAAAAATTTCACACATCATTTCAGACTTGTAATCTCCTTCATGGTTGGTTAAAGAAATATTATAAATATAGAACTGAAATGATATTATAATGTGTGTTCACCTGGATTCGATCTATAATAAATTATTCCATTAATTTTAAGGCCCCTATAAGTTTTATTATCTTTCACTTGACGATCCGACAACAAAATTGCTTGCGTTAAATGTCGTAACAAATATGGTCTTTTGAATTGGGGATTTTCTTGTATTTTATTGTACGAGCTTGCAATTTTCCCTCCAAGAAATTAGATAGAGGGTAACTGGAGAAATGTTAAATTACTCTCTGCTATTTTGATAAACTTTTTTGATTTTTTAGGAAAGTATTGTGATGTTTATACTTTATTATATGTATATAAATAAGAAGGCACAAATTTTTTTGCATTAGAAGCAAAAATAATAATTTATTGCGTTAATATATAGTAATTTTTTGTTTCAGATTTTGCAACGTTACAAGATAGAGTATCATCACGAGAAATTAGAGTATTACATCAATCCTATGTACACGCCTAAAGGATCCTTAAATTTAAAATTTATTGACAGATAATAATTTTTAAATGTATGTACAAACGATATGTTTTTCCTTTATTTTTTATTGCCTTTATTGCTATAAAATCAAAAGGATACTGTTTTATATGATCACTATCTTTGAAGTACTTTGAATTTGAGTTCACCGTCGGGAGCGTACATAAATGTAACCTTGTATTTAAGTGGTTTATGATGGTATTCCAATTTGTAAGATCTTATCAGCTGTAAGCGAATAAAAGCAATAGTATTTATACATTTAATACCTCAAATATATTATGATAATAGCTAAACTTATATATATGTCGGAGATGAAGGGACATCGGGACTTCCCGTCTGGAATGTTGGGAAAAAGCCCAGTACCTTGGTCCAGACTTTCACTATAGTTACACTTAAGTAATAAAAATAAGAAATAGTTTTAAGTGTTCCAATCTGTCTTTATGACGATGGGTTCGGGCTCGAAGTGACATAGCGGGTCATTGAACGTAGCCACGGTCACGGGAGGGACGTATACCTGACAGAGGTATGGAATGATTATATGGCTCTCCTTAAAAAAACAAAGATTGACCCGAGAAGTGGGACAGGAATATATAAGGGCAGGACGAATTGCTGGTTGTGTTATCGTGTATTACACGATTCGGGTAATAAACATTAGCTACATTCGCGATGGTAAAGTAAGTAAAGGTTCATCGAACGCCCCCCCCCCCCCCCCC